TTCCAGTCACCGATTGCCTTAGCAATGTCAATGTCACTGCCAGCTTTTCTGAAGGCAGACCCAGGGGGCCAGTTTGAGAGACAGCACAGATGTGGTATCTGCTTTCCCACTGGCACACATAAGATGCAGACTTTGATTTTCTTGGTGTCAGAAAATTTTCTTTGAACTTGGGTGTCATGATAAAGATGGCTATCGTCAGAGGAACCTGGATGCTGGACCACTGAAGAAAGTGACACTTTTGTCTCCTCCCAACAAAAGCTGAGAGTCAGACTTATTTTTAACTTAAACTTTCAATTAAATCTTTGATACAGGGTACATCCTGGTGTAGTGGAAGTAGCATGAACTAATAATTAGAAAACCTGGATCCTATCTGGGTTCTTAATTCTATTAAGGTCATTCGTTCTAAAGCCTGTTATTTGAATTGTCTGTCCCTCAGTTTGCTCACCTGTCAAATCGAGATGGCAATACTGATCATAACTATTCTATAGGATCTTCTGGAAGGTTAAATTGAGATGGTGAATAAGAAATTCACTTTGATAAGTTATAATGCATTAGTAAGTTATATTATAACCATAAAATAATATTAAAACAGTAATATTAATTCCTGAAAAGAGTAAGCTTATATGTGAATGTTTTAATTGTCTGAATCTGTACAACTTTATTGTTGTGTATATCATAACAAATTAGCCTTCTGTTCATTAGATTAAGAAAATCTATGCTGAGTCCTTTTACTTATATATTTAATATTTTTTGAGCAGTTTTAGATTTACAGGAAAAAAATGGAGTGAAATGTACAGAATTCCCATATATTTCCTCATCCCTTCAACTCTGAATTAACATCTTTGCTACAGTTAATGAAGCAATATTGATACATTATTATTCATTATTAGTTCCAAGTTTACATTAGGGTTCACTCTATTGTACATTCTATGGGTTTTGACAATTGTGTAATGACATGTATCTACCATTGTAGTCTCATACAGAATAGTTTCACTGCCCTAAAAATCCTTTGAGCTCCACCTATTCGTCCTTTCTTTTTCTCTTCCTGAATCCCTGGCAACCACTAATCTTTTTTACAGTATAGCTGTAGTTTTGCCTTTTCCAGAAGGTCATGTTGCTGGAATTGAACAGCAGGTAGCCTTTACGATTAGCTTCTTTCATTTAACAATATGCACTTAAGATACTTCAATATCTTTTTGTGGCTCGTTTTCTTTTTATCCCTGAATGATATTCCATTGTCAGGATATACTGCAGCTTATTTACCTGTTGAAGGACAATTTGGTTGCTTCTAAGTTTTGGCAATTATGGATAAACCTGGTATAAACATCTGTGTGTGGCTTTTGTGGAAATAACAAGGATGTGTGATTTCTGGGTCATGTGGTAAAGTTATGTTTGCTTTTGTAAGAAACTGCCCAACCATATACTAAAGTACTATTATGTTTTCATTCCCTCCAGCACAGAATGAAAGTTCCTGTTGCTCCACAGCCTCACCAACATTTGATGTTGTCAGTATTTTGAATTTTGGTTATTCTAATAGGTGTATAGTGGTATTTCATTGTTATCTTAGTCTGCAATTCCCTAATGACATATGTTGATCATCTTTTCATATGCTTACTTGCCATCTGTATATTTTCTATAGTGAGATACCTGTTCAGATCTTTTGCCCAGCCCATTTTTTTGATTGGGTTCTTTGTTTTTCTGTTGTTGAGTTTTAAGAGTTCATTGTATATTTTGGATGCCAGTTCTTCATCTGATATGTGTTTTGCAAAGATTTTCTTCCAGTCTGTGGCTTATCTTTGCCTTCTCCTAATATTTATTTTACTTATTTAATCTCAAAATTACAATTCAATTATTTTTAAGTACCAATGACATCCAAGTTTACAGTTTTTAAGAAGGTTGACTGATCCTAATGCTCCATTTCTATTTACCATTGATTCCTTTTGTGGTTGGTTGCATTTGAAGAATGAATCAAGTCATCAAGCCCAACATGGGCTCAACCTCAAACCTCACATTCTTAACCAGGATCATCGCACTATCATCTGAGAGTTGGCCTGTGGCCTGTCCAAGTTGGCTGGGTCTGGCTAAGCTGATTGGAGCGACCGACATTTTTGCTGACTGGAGTCATGCTATCTTTGCCAGTTTGCTGGAATAGACACAGACACCGATTGGGTCACGCTGAAGACATTCCTGTCTTGTGAAGCAAGTCTGTTTGTATTTTAGGTTTGCCAGGACTAATGAATTAAAACATTTGGACTCTCCACAATTTGCTGTTTATCAATGCCTCTGACAGGAGGAGGGTTTTCTTTTGCTCTTGCTTTTTCTAGAAACATGACAACATCCTGGCTGTTAGAGAGGCAAGGAAAGGAGAGAGGGGTTGTGGAGGGAAGCAGAAGGGAAGGAAAGGGAAGGGAAGGGAGGTCCCATGGGACGCTGGGGTCTGGGGCAGAGCAGGTAGCAGCGTGCTGCCCTGACAGCTGTCTCCGCTCCTCAGATTGTCAGTGGCTGCTATGCAGCAGGTGCAGGCTGGTCTCTCACTGAGTCTCTACTCCACAAAGGCAACGACTGGCCAAGGCAGTGGCTGGCTCTGGGTTACACAAGTGCAGACACTCTACTAAGTGAGGTAAGCCAACAGGTGTGAAAACTGAACTAAATGCTCAGATCACCAGCAACTTAACCAAAGCTCTGTTACAGCTTGTAGCCGAGAGAAGGAACCTGTGATTCGTTTCCCCAGACGGTGTGATGAAAAGGCAAGTTGGTCTAGGGGCTCTTGTCAATGTGGTGTGGAGCTCAAAGTCCACTCAGTCTCGCCGCCATCCTTTCACAGGCAGACAGATGTTCTCCATTGAGTGGAGGGGAGGGACTCTAATTAGCTGTGTTTATTAATTCCATTTCCTGTAGCTGGAAACCATACCGGAGGACTATTTATTTACAAGATCCATGAGGCAAATTTCTACCTCTTGTGCTTGCTTTCTTGGTGTGGGCAAGTGTTGGGAGATTTAGCAAAAGAGGAGTGCAGCTTTCCATCCTTAGATGTTATGCTAAAGGGGTTTGGTGAATGTACAGTACATAACAGTAAAACTTTTCTTTTTAGCTAAAACTTTTAGGAAATTTTAATGGTTTGGTCTGTTGAATTTGAGACAATCCGTGCCATTCCCTAGGAACAGATGCTAATAAAATGCTTGATTCTAAGCAGATAAGATTGGACAAAAGAGTGGTCGAGTAAAGATAAAACAAATCCTGAATCAAATAACAGATATATTATTCTTTTTTAAAATTAAATGTTTCATGTTACTATTTCTTTCTAACTTAGAATTACAGGATATGGACAGTGGAGAGGTTTTTGGTGCATTGCTACTTGTGCTAAATAAATGGGCCAAATTATGATTCTAACTGGGTGATACACAGTTGCTGGTTTTTCTCCAGAGCTATAGTAGGGTTTTAATATAAGCCTTATCTTTTTTCATATGCTGGGTAAGATGATTCCATATGTATGTATGTCTAAATATACATGTATATATATGCATTGGCTTTGGCTCTATAAATACTTTTAAAAACAAAATTCAGTGTTCTGGACACTATTTTTAGATAGAGAAAAGTTATGGGAAAAAGTCAGAAACCATGCTGTGAGAAAATGTCCAGCTAAAGCATTTCCCAGAGTCTCTTTAAGGATGGCTAAAGAGATTATTTATACTTTGCCATTTTTAGAGACATTTCTCTTAAAATATCATTCAGGTTTTTTGGTTTACTGTCTACATGAGAAGGAAAGTAGAGGGTTTAGGGGAGGAGGGACTAAAAATGGAAAAGTTAAATATATGTTTGTAAATAACAAAGATATTATGTGTTTATATCTATCTTATCCTAGTTCCCTATAGACATCAAATTATCAAATATCTTGGTTAAAATATATTTGGGCTAAATTATCTGATTATAACACAGAAATATTCATGTGTTTTTGCCCATTCCATTTTATCTGCAGGATGTTTTTTCCATTAATTAATTAATTAAATGATGATTTAAGAGATGGAGTAGAATATCTATAGGATGTTTCTGAGTTTTGTCTTTTGTTTTTATCATAGATTGTTAAGATGTGCAACCTTAGAAATGTTTGATAGATTTACAGGTAGTTAATCAGATATTTAAGCACATGATATTCATAATATAACTGAGATATTTTAAAGTGATTTTTGGTATTCTTCATTTGCTTACTTATTTTTTTAGACGGAGTCTTACTTTGCCATCTGGAGGCTGAAGAGCAGTGGCATGATCTCTGTTCACTGCAACCTCCGCCTCCCGGGTCCAAGCAATTCTTTTGGCTTAGCCTCCCAAGTAGCTGGGATTACAGGTGCCTGCCGCCATGCCCCACTAATTTTTATATTTTTAGTAGTGACAGGGTTTCCTCATGTTGGCCATGCTGGTCTCGAACTCCTGACTTCAGTTGATCCGCCCACCTCAGCCTCCCAGAGTGTTGGGATTATTGGCGTGAGCCACCACACCCAGAAATTTTTGGTATTCTTTGAATGATTCTATGAAACTCATTCTTTACCACTCTCAGATTAATAATTCAGATTTAATTTAGGCTTTTGAGCGTGAAATGCTAGTCTAATCTCAAGCCATCTGATACCTTATTAAGACTATATCTCTTTTTATTCTCCTGAATTGAAAATAAAATACTTTATATGACCTTAAAGGGCCAGGATTGAACTGGTCAGTGTGAAAGGATACTGAGCAAGTAAGGCAGGTAGAGATATTTCCCATATTTCATTAATTCTAGATGTATATTGCAAAAGCAATTTTTTTCTTGAGCAAAGAAAAAAAGATTTAAATGAGGCAGGTGAATACTTCTGACACAGAAAAAGAAAGCTCCAAACTAGGAGTATCTTTAGAATAAGCAGGTAATGCTTACTAAACTTAATAACTTTACCTCTAATTTTCAAGGGCCTCTGAGTATTCAGGAGGATGACACTGGGTAAAGTGACAATGGCTCTCTCTTGCTCTCACAGCTGGAAGACCCAGGAGAAGGCGGAGGCTCAGGTGCCCACATGATCAGCACAGCCAGGGTACCTGCCGACAAGCCTGTACGCATCGCCTTTAGCCTCAATGACGCCTCAGGTATAGTCTGCTTTGGAAGAAGAGTTGTCTCCCTCATGCCCCACCTTTTTAGCATCTTTTCTAATGCTACATCTCTGTGGAAAATTTAAAGTTGCATGTTTGCATGACTTGATGATGAGAAATGTGATATTTCATCATGCGTTGTTAGATGGTGGCTTCCAGAAATGCCTCTAATGATGTTTTCCTCTACCTTGAATCCTTGGGCCATTTTAACTCATTTTTTTCTCCTCCCTCTCCATTCTAGCTTTCTTTTAGAATAAAATTCATTGAGCTATAACAATGTCTGACAATAGCAAAGTGTGTTATTGTTAAAACTGCACCAGGAAACATTTATTAGGAGCTGACAGTTGGTTAGGCAATATGAAAATATCACTGTTCCAGTTCCAGCAATATTTGCTGAAGCCTAAGTTTGAAATGCTGGTTTCTCACTGGTGCTCCCACCCTTCTGGCTAAAGCAACAGATTGAAGCAGGAATAATGAATGGGACAGGTGAGGAGGAGCCTCTTGAAATAGTAAGGTCTAAGGTGAAGCTGCCATACTTAGAGCTTTTCATCAGGGGTCCCCTCAGTGACCTCTTAACATACATATTGAATTGCACCACTTTTGAACAACGGACCTTGTGTGGCCGGAGGAAAGGAAGGCTTGGCTCTCTTCCACTGGCATCTGCCATTGCTCTTAGTTTAATATCATCTGTTAAAGTCACATGCTTAAACAACATTACCGTTTAAACCTTGGGTCTTTTGAGGACTGTCTGTCTGACCCTACAATGCTTATGTAGGGATACTGCTTTAAAAGTTATGATTGGCTGGGCATGGTGACTCATGCCTGTTATTCTAGCACTTTGGGAGGCAAAGGCAGGAGGATCCCTTGAGCCCAGGAGTTTGGAGACCAACCCAGGCAACATAGGGAGACATCATGTTTATTTTTTATAAAAGTAAAAATTGAAAAGGGACAGGATAATTCCAAAATAATGCAAAGTAAGTAGCTCTGTGAAATCTGATGTCACACAACCATTGCAGGCTTGGGGTTACTATGCCAGGTGACACATTTATCCTGGAGTTTCATAGACTGTGTAGTCTCCAATGGAGAATGTATTCCATAGTAGGAAGAGGTGAAGGCTCAACTCTTCATAATCTATTTTTCCAAACCTCTTCCCATGACCTGATGTTGCACTATGTCCTCACTCAGGGTCACTCTGCAAGACAGCGGTGAGAAGAAATCCTCCCAACAGGCAAATCAATCCACCCCACATAGAAATGGCAACTGCCATTAACTGTACTTCTCTATCATATTAAGTATAGACTGTATTATCTCTGATCCTTAAAACAACCATGCAACGTAGGCATTAGTATTCCTTATGCACAGAGACAGAGATTGCCACCCAGCAACCGCACCGTTTGTAAGTAACAGAGTTATGTTCTGAAATCAGGGCCCTAGGCTTGATGTCTGGACTTTCTTCATTTTACAATGCTGTTTCTCTAAAAGGAAAAATGAAGGCCCCTTCCATTTTTATGCATTTCGTAAATGCAAGATTTCAAGAGATAATGCTTTTCATGGCATCTTGAGTGGCTAGCTCTGAAGACACACACATGCAAACCCAAAATCCAGAGGGAAAGAAAATGTATAATTTCCTTTCTTTTTTGCTCATGCTGCATGTGAGCAGAACATGCTCTGTTACAATCAACAGCCTTACAAAGGAAATTTCAATACAGAAAGCTTATTTATCTCAAGCAATATTATCACATTATACTTCTGGTCCAAATAAATGTACTGTTCCCCTGTCAACAGTTTAACAGAATTTAATTTACATACAGAAAAGAGCCATGGAGAGGTGAATCTCCATCTTTGGTTTGCATGAATAGCCTCTTTCTTGAAGTACAAGATGTACAACTTCCAATTAATTTCTCACCATTCTTTGAACTTTCTTGGTCCCTGACTAAGAGTTCACAGATGTTTTTCATCTATCAATTTAGATTGGTTTGTTCCAGTCTCTTTCTCTTCCTTTTGAATGACTCTAGAATGCCCACTTTCAAAATTCATGGTTTTTAATAGATAGCCTTAAAAAGGGATTATAATTTATTTTAAATAATTTCTACCCTCTAGCCCTACCAAAAGATACTTATGAAAAAAAACTCCCAAAAGTAATTACTTTAATCTTATCATCAATGTGTCCCCATATCTCTAGAAAGGGCACCTACCTAGAGAACATCAGGCAGGAGCTGAGGTTCAGTGTTTGTCAACTTTTCCTGATTAAAATAATCACCTGAGAGCACTCATCAAAAACATGTGTTCTAAGGGCCCACTCTTATATATTCTGATTCAGGAGACCCATTACTGTTGTAAGAAGAAAAAGAAACGTCCCTCCTGTGTTTTATGCATATCACAAATGCAAGATTTCAAAGAATAGCCAGGGCCCAGGACTCTGTATTTTTGCACATACATGTGACTGTGAGTGAACAAAAAGCTGCTTTGCAGATACTTGGGACACTCCCTTTGAATTCTTGAGTAAGGAACATGTGGAGTGTCACCCAGGAAAACACTTGCCATCAAGCAAGCTGCGCATGCCTTTTGAATTCCAGTGCATGTAGCCTGCAGACCACACATTTAGGGGGAAACAAAAGAAAACACCCTAGACTTTCATAGTAAAGGAAGGCACTAAGGTTGTCTTTTTGGGAGTAATTTTATGTTGTTGAATTTATTGTTGATGAATAAGCAGAGTCCATGAGAAAAGGAGGCATCTTTGCTTGTGAATGTTGACGTGTTCATTTCTTTCTTTCTTTCTTTTTCTTCTTTGAAACAGAGTCTCTCTGTCACCCAGGCTGGAGTGCAGTTGTGCTATATTGGCTCACTGCAACCTCTACCTCCCTGAGGCGATTCTCCTGCCTCAACCTCCTAAGTAGCTAGGATTACAGTCATATGCCACCACACCTGGCTAATTTTTTTGTTTTTAGTAGAGATGGGGTTTTACCATGTTGACCAGGCTGGTCTCGAAGTACTAACCTCAGGTGAGCTGCCTGCTTCGGCCTCCCAAAGTGCTGGGATTACAGGCCACTGTGCCTGGCCTGCTATGTTCATTTCTAATAAGCCTAGTCTAGTGCTCATTTCATCCAGTCATTTCAGGACTATATATTGCTGAGATGATTTAGTGTAGGGATTAAGGACATAGGCTTTAGAGCCAGAGAGGCATGATTTCTAGACCTACCTCCAACACTATTTGTATTATCATTCCACCTTGCTGAAATTCCGTTTCCTATCAGATGCATATAGTAGTAATTCACAGGGTTGTAATAAGCAGGCAATGATACCTTATAGGTAAAGTATTTAGCAGAGTGCTTGATACAAATTAAGCATTCAACTAATCCCTGAAATGATGATAATTGATTGTGGAGTATCAAGGGAAATGTAAACCACTAAGCAGTTGTGTGTCTCACCCACATCTCACATTCTACTTGATGTCAAGGTAAATTTTATAGCAAGTTATTTAGGGATAGTTATGCAGTTAGTAGACTGTTTCTCCTCTCATCCATTAGCTGAATTTATTTGGTTTCAGTGTTTCCAGCACTCTGCCAAAGGTGGGTGGGATGTGCGGAAGAGAACAGCATGACCTCCCGTGGGCTTTATAAAGCAAAGATATTTGGAGAAAAGTCTGTGTCACCCAGAGCCATTAGTAATAGCTTCTTGGCAGAGGTGATAGTCAAAGTGAGCTTGAGGGCAGGTAGAGTATAGAGGGGCAGCACACGAAAGGTGTCATTCCTGGGTACTAGACACAAAAAAGGGGGTTACATACCTTTAACTAGTTTTCTCTTTTCACTCTAAACAGAAAGCAGGAGCAAAACTTAAGAGTCAGGAAGAACATGGTCTCTTCAGAAAAGACTAAAACTAGTCAATTGCAGCAAAGGTGTGAACTGTGAAAGAGTAGCACGTGGTCTGCCGAGCCCTACTGAGCCAGCCATTGTTTTGGACACTTACATAGGGCACCTGTTTAGACAACAATAGACCAGGGTTGCCAAGTCAGTTTTCAAAATTCAGCAAAAGGGTTCGGACTTGATCAAAAGCAATAAAGAGTCAAAAGTCCTTAGAAAAGAGAATAATATGATGAAAATGGTCAAAATGTGGTAGAACAGTCTGGAATGTGGAGAGATGAGAGAATAGAAGAGGCTTTTTATAATGGTACAAAGTGATGAGAGCCTGCATTAGATAATGTGATGGGATGACTGAATTCAGAGTCTATTTTGAAAGAAGGGTTGAAAGGACTTGGTGACAGACTGGCCCTGGGAGATGAGGGGTTGGTCATTGTTCAGTGATAGCAGAATGAGCCATAAGACCTTGAATAGAACATGGACCTCCAGGGATCCTTAAATAAAGGAAGCAAGGTTTTGGAGAACACAAATATGTGTATGTGTGTGTGTGTGTGTGTATACACACATATATTGTTATTTCTCTAAAATACAGTCAGTATTTCTAGCCTATCATCAGAATGCTTTGAAAGGTAATACTTAGCTAATGTTAATTCCTAGAGACAGTAATGCCTATCTTTGATAAGCTAATGATATAATCAGTATTATTTCTAAACTGGGAATTTCAAAGAGTTAAAACTTCCTAAACTGGAAACTTCATGGAATTAGTTTTCTTAATAGAAAAAGTACAGAAGAAAAATATGAACCCCACTTCTTGGGTTATTCGAGAATCACAGGCCCTTCTCTGGTTAGAGGGAATTTAGAGTTGGACAGACATTAGGATTTCATATTAATTATTTGAGACTTTTCTTCATCTTTAGCTAAGCTAAAATCTGGCACACTCCTTGTAAATTTAGACCTTGGCTTTGGAATTCTGTCTTTTGCATTTTTTAGCACAGTTTTTTTGTTTTATTTAGAAAGAGTCAAGAATACTGGTATCGGCCAGGCGTGGTGGCTCAAGCCTGTAATCCCAGCACTTTGGGAGGCCGAGGCGGGTGGATCACGAGGTCAACAGATCGAGACCATCCTGGTCAACATGATGAA